TCAGTCGTTATTGAAAAATAGCTGATTTAAAATCTCCCCTCCATTAAAATGCATGATTTTCGCGTATAAGAGGCACAGTGTGCCTCGCACAGTTCGACGCAACTTCGTTGCGCGTGAACTTGGCGCGAGGCACTACCGTGCCTCTTGATTCACATCCTCCGTAGGGCCCAGAGGAGGGAGAGTGTACACCCCCTCTTGGCATTTGGTTTGAAACTCCTCCCAGCGTACCTGTTTCACAGAGTAGTAGGGCCGACAGGGAATGCGACCAGAAAACCTGTCGGAGATTGAGGTTACTACTGGAAAATGATCACTACCGTAATGAAAGTCACACACAGCCCAGGTACAGAGAGGTGCGAGTACATCAGAGACAACGGTGAGATCTATTGCGGAGGACCTGGAAAGATCCGCGGAGGCCCACGTGTTACTGCCGTCGTTAAAAACTACCCAAGGGGAGTTGACTAATGCATGTTCTAAGTTTTTTCCTTCTCTATTGGAGAGAGGGGGAGTACTACACCACAAGGGATTTTTCCCGTTGAAATCGCCACAGATGATCGCTGGTTGAAGGTTGGCACTTAAAAAAAAAAAGTCTTTCCAAAAGTCGGCCGCTGTATAGTTTACAGAAGCTCTGGGAGGGCTGTACAGCGAGAAAACATGAAGAGATTGAGAGTTCGGGAGGAACAGCTCAACCACTACGAGTTCAACGTGGTTATCTTTACACAGGTTTACCAACTGTGGGATTTCAGGGATACAAAATTTGATGTGTTTACCTATTGCTATGGCAACTCCCCCACCTCTACGGTTGCGATCTTGTGATATGATTTCATGGTTAGGTAGGGTGATTATAGAGTTGCCATCGAGGTGTGTTTCGCAAAAAGACGCTACATCAGCTTTGCAGTCTTGGAGTAGCAGGCGGGCCGCATCGAGATTACGAACCAAGGACCTGCAATTCCATTGGACTACAGTTAGAGATTTCATGGTGTGCAAAGTTCAATTCTAAGGTTTTGGAATACCGTAAAGGTACTTTTGTAATTCAGTAACGATATTTGTCATGTCTGTGTTGCTGAACTGAGAAGGGTTTATATTGAGAGTGACTTTTAACTTTTGAAAGGCTTTGATTAGGATTTCTTTATCTAAAAAAAGTTTGGAATATTCGTCTTCAGAGGAGTTACGTCCCGAAGACATTTTCTTTGCGATGGAGTCTATGAACAAATGGTTAATTGTGGACCTTTTGTTTGATAAAGAGGAGGAGTTTACCTCCCCGTAGTTCTTCCTCCACACAGGGGGGAATCGTACAGGGTGTGTAGGGGTTTTTAGCGAGGTAACCTCTGCATAAGAGAGGTTAGAAGCGGGTGAGGAGTCGTAAGAGGTGCCACCCGAACCCCCAGGCGAGGGGGTAGATCCCACCCGGGAGGAGAGCATCCTCGGACTCACAAAAAATGTTCTTTAAGGTGCGGAGGGGCCCGGTTTCTCACTTCCTGAAAACCGAAAGACGCCCCTACTTGGAAAGAACTCACCAAGCGTGGGGAGCGGAACCGAAACACTGATGGACAGATGAGAGTTCAACCCAGAGAGTGTATTTCCCTCATTATACAGACTGGTTGCATCACAGAAGGAAAGATCCCTGTAGGCCATAATTTTGTGAATCTCACGTTGTCTCTGGAAGACAGGGCAACGGAGTTCCGAAGACTGATGATTGGTTTTACCGGTCTTGAAACGGACACAGTTTATGCACTTGTCCAGGACATTCGGACAACTTGGTTTGGAGTTGCCCGACTTGCCACACTTTTCGCAGAACCTGCGTTTTTTGTCTCCAGATTGTTTGCAAGAATGGGCTGTGTGCCCAAATCTTTGGCAAAAATCGCAGCGTCTGACTTTGTAAACATAAGGAGTTAGGGGAAGACGTTTCCCAACATACAAACAAGACGGAGGAACCACCGAGGAGCGGAACCTCGAGATAAGTTGGTTTGTATTTACATACCTAGGACTAGAGGTAGCGTTTTTCTTTTCCCTACGAGTGATTCTGACAGCCTCGAAAGGAGGAAACCACTCCTGACCTCACCCGGGGGGGGGGAGGGCGGAGACCGGCCAACAACTCTTTTACAGTTTCCTCTTCATCAACGCCCTTCAGAACAAACTGCTTGACCACCCTAAACGATGAGACATGTGCTGTCCACTGTTCGTAGGGGGTAATTCTATCAGCGACATCTCTGAAGGCCTCAACAAACCGATTTGCATCTCCGCCTGTGAGGAAGCAGACAGAAAACTTATTTCTACCGATCATACGCAAGTCAAAAGCACGTTGAAACTGGTTCAAAAAAAGACGATTGAGCCTCTTGCTCAGGTCAATGGCGCTAAGCGAGGTTCCTTTTTTACCTGTACCAGGATTCTTTTCGTTTTCGTGGCCGTCCCCTCTAGCAGAGGAAGGCAACGGACGGCACGTCTTTACGTGCACCATGAAAGGGCCCTTGGAGTCCTTGTGGTACCGATTAAGTATAAGCTGTCTCTGCACGCTGGACATGGCCGAGAAAGTACGCTTGAGGGGGGGGGTCGGACCAACGCCGTTCCTCTTCCTCGAGGATCGTGCTCCCACGGACCTCGTGGAGGCCGAAGAGCAGACAGGGGACCCAATCAAGGATACCTTGCGTATTGCACCATCCCCGGCCGGTTCCGCCCTGGACGCAGAAGCCCGGCCGTTAAGAGAGGGGGTTATGTCTTCCTCTGGAGGGAAACCCACCTCAGACATATCTACGTCAACCGTTTCTTTGGCCATCGTCGTAGTCACGACACACACGTGTTTTACTGTGTCTAAATTGCACCACACTGGTTCGCGACTAAAGTTTGAAAAATAGCAAAACCTTATTATAGGTTTCAACCACACAAAAGTTTTTCAACTTCACTTTAAAAAAAAGGCAAGATGGCGTCCTCAGAGGAAATCTACAGGTTGCCAGACCACAAGGTCGCGTTTGTCGTGAAAACGACAGATTTAACGGAGAACTTGAGCTCCAGAGCTCTGAGCCTCACCTACGAAGGAAATTCCAACTGTTTTCGCTACGTTTTTGTAACTCAGAGCAGGGCACAGGAACCTAAAACAGGACTGGAATACGCGGGAGATGTAGCTCGTGCGCAGTCTCAGAACGGAAACCTACTTCATATTCTCACGAAGCTAACGTCAACCATAGATGCCAAATCGGAGACTCAGTAAGCATGCATCAGTAAGTGGAGGGGATACGCACACAGGCGACAGCCGTGTCCGTGTGCGTATCCCCTCCACTTGCTGATGCATGCTTACTGAGTCTCCGATCTGGCATCTATGACGTCAACGCCAGTATGGATTACTGTACAACTTTTCTACACCTTGCGATTGATAACAAGGATATAGGACTTACTGAAGTATTTTTAAATCATGAAGCTAACGTCAACGCCACTAATACATACGGTACAACTCCGCTACACCGTGCGATTGAAAATGAGAATATGGGACTTATTGAATTACTTTTAAGTTATGGAGCTAACGTTAACGCCAGTAAAGTTACTTATACCGGTATAACTCTTCTTCATATTGCAGCTCAGAATGAATACAGCCAACTCTCGAACTTTTCTTTGGACTTTCAATATTCGAGAGCCTTTCTCTTTACCTGACTCACATAAGTTCCTTCACCACGCTCTTTATCTTTTTCAACTACACTTCTTCTCATTTTTCACGTTACTTATTTTCCTGATAATGTAAATGTAGTCCGCACACTTTACTGTAATTGGTAAAAAGCTGAACTATGGAAACATGAAAAATGTACTTATTTCCCACAAATTTCTTCCTTTACAGCCTCACAAGCGCGTAAATATCGAGAGCTGGCTGTATTTACAGATTGTTGAACATCTTTAAAAACATGGAGCTTATGTTAATTTTACAGTATCGCTATCTTCACAACAGGTACACCACTGTGTTTTGCTGTTAAAAGAAAACATGAAAAAGTTGTTAAGATTCTACTAGATAGAGGTGTTGACATTAATGCTAAAGATAAGTATGGCAGAACTTTCCTACACATTGCGATTAAAAATAAGGATATGGGACTTATTAAATTACTTTTAAATCATGGAGCTAACGTCAATGTCAGTGACGATTACGGTATAACTTGTCTTTATATTGCAACTCAAAAAAGTCATAAAGAAATTGTAGAGATATTGTTAAAACACGGTGCCAAAGATAAATCTAAAAGTGACAAGACTTCACTCTACGTTGCTGCTCACATTGGTTATCTAAAAATTGTTAAAAAACTCTTGCAATTCGGTTCCGGTGTTGATTCTAGAGATAAATACGGTGGAACAGCGCTCCACGTTGCTTCTGCATTGGGGAATGTAGAAACTGTTAGTGCTCTTCTAGAACACGGTTCTGATATAAATATTTTAAATAAAAACAATGATACACCGCTTGACATTGCTTCCATAAAAAGTGTTAAAATTCTTACATGTCATATAGTTAAGATGAAAACTGCAAATTTATACGTAAATGAAAAAAATTTACTAAGAATAAATTATGTAATAAGAATGAATGATGAAATAAGAGATTTTCAGGATAAATGTAAGGAAGAAGTAGCAATCATGAAGAGTGAGAAGATTAGGAATACTAACATTTTATTCTATAATATTTTGACTGAAAGTACAAATCAATTAGCAATATATATAAGGAATGAAAAGATAACGCAGGTTTTAAGATCAAACGATTATAAAACAAAATTTTTAATATACGCGAGTATGATAAAAAGTCATTTGAGAAAAGGTATGGAAAGGAAAGAGTTGCTGGAACAAGGCATTAAATGTTTCTATTTTCTTTTTAAGAACTTTTCTGAGTTACCACATGACTGTATTGAAAAAATATTTAGTTACTTAAGTGATAACGACTTAAGAATTTTAATGGATGCTTGTAAGCTTGGTAATAATAGTAATCCTAATACTGATAGTAGAAGATCTTTTTCTTCTTCTTCTTCTTCTTCTTCTTCTAATACTGATTATTAATGATGTATCAGTTATCTCAAAGTGCCATGCGTTTAAGTTAAGGAAGAGTAACAGAACGAACTACTTTGAACAATTCTAAGTAATTTATAGATTATTACTGTAAGAAAGATACGCGTTTAGATTTGACTAAAATCCAAAAAGTTTTGTTGTTTGCCATTGTGTAACGGTTTTTGCATGTTGTCTATATAAGTACCGATCGCGGCAGAAAAACAAAATAAGCTGAAAGATAAAAGATGAAAAGACGTAGCGGGTAAAGAGAGTCACAGATAGGCAGCCGAGAGAAGAATTTGCAGAAAAGTCGCTAATAGAGTCGAACAAAGTGCCGCGAATTTAGAAAAGAGTGTGCTGCGCGCTTGATCGTAAATTGTATATACCAGACTATTAATATTATTAAATATATATATATTATTATATGCTTTGAGAGCGGCGTTTGATATGGTGGACAGAGAAATATTATGGACGGCAATGAGGAAGAGAGGGGAAAAAAGGATTGGTGAGAAGATGTGGGGACTTATATAGGGAGACAAGGAATAGGGTGAGGGCGGGGGCAAAAATAGGAAAAGGTTTCTGGACAAAAAGAGGAGTAAGGCAAGGATGTCCGCTAAGTCCTATTTTATTTAACTTGGTTATAGCGGACTTAGAAGATTGGTTGGAAAGAAATGGTTAGGGGGGGGAGGTTAAATTAAAAGGGAGAAAAGTTTTCTCGTTGGCATATGCAAATGACGTGGCCTTGATGGCGGAGAATAAAGAGGGGATGAGTGGAATGATAAGAGGTTTGGAAAAGTATTTGATGGAAAAAGGATTAGAATTAAACGTTGGAAAGACTAAGGTAATGAGATTCAGGAAAGGAGCTGGAAGGGAGAAAAAGATAAAATGGTGGTGAAGAGGGGAGAGAATAGAGGAGGTAAAGGAGTTCAGGTATTTGAGTTACATATTCCAGAGGAATGGAGGAAGGGAGTTGCATGTGAAAGAAAGAGAGAGTAAAAAAAGGGGCGGCGGTGATGGGGCAGGTGTGGGGAATAGGAAAAAGGAAGTTTGGAAGGAATTGGGGGAAAAAGTTGTGGATGTTTGATGCGTTAGTACGGTCGGTACTAGGATTTGGAGTGGAAGTGTGGAGGTGGAAGGAATGGGATAATATGGAGAGATTGCAGGAGAGATATATTAAGTGGATTTTGGGGGTAAATTGGAGGACGCCGAAATACATGGTAAGAGAGGAAATGCAAAGAGAGTTATTGAGAGGTAGAGCAGGGGTAAGGGCTTGGGGGTTTGAGGATAGGCTGGAAAGAGGAGAAGGGAGTTTTGATTTTAAAATATTGTTTCTTTTGTAAAACAGGTTTTGTTAGTATATAATACATTAAAACCTAAATTTTTCTTATAGAAATAATTAAAAAAACAGTTTGAGGTAATAATATAACAACGTACAAAAGTTTCCTTGATGCAACATTTTGATATCACTTCTTTTGTAGAACAGATTTTGTAGAAAAGAAATGTTTAGTAGTATATAATAAAATAGTAGTAATAAATAAAAGAGTACTAAAAAATAAACTTTTTTTATATAAATAATGAAGAAAAACACAATTTGAGTTAAAATTTTTAATTTAAGTCAATTTATTTAATACAATACAATACAATATAATACGTGTTGTGCGTGTACTTGGCGCCTTTTTTATCTTTTTTTGAAAAGGTAAGTTTTTCGAGTTATCACACATTTTGTAGTATATACGTAGTATTTTTATATAAATTAAATTATATTACTATAATAATAAGCAGTATTTAGAATTGGCTTTTTGAAACAGTTCAAACAAAATAACAGAAGAATTATATGTAAAAACTGATTAACTACATTAACTGTCATTCATTTCGACATTTTCCTGAGTACATCAACAAAATGTTCGTATTCTCGATAATGACTTTTATACAGGTCCCGGTATAACCGTAACATCTCTCGTAAGTAGATAAAAGAAGTAAACCTGAGTCGAAAAGTCCTATACCATTTGTCTCTATTACATGTAATAAAGGAGTAATGATTGAATAAATCAGGCCAATCAGCGCCGACCTTTAGTCGGGCGCCATGTCAGTGAGCCGCGCGTCTGGTAGCGTGCGTAAGGCTAATATTACATTTGTCGTACGACAAAAATTTTAAGTATGTTGATTGGCTATCAGATAGGATTTTATAAAGAACTGTATTTGATAGCCAATCAATGTACTTAAAATCATTGTCGTACGACAAATGTAATACTAGCCTAAGTGCTCCGCGTGCGCTCGGCTAATGGTCGCCACTGATTGACCTGATGTATTTAATAATTACTCCCTTATTACATGTAAGAGAGAAAAATGGTATAGGATTTTTCGATTCAGGTTTACTTTTTCTACCTACCTATGAAAGATGTTACGGTCATACTGGAACATCCTCTATATATAAATGTCATCATCGAGAACCCTGGACTAATTTGTAGATACTATTTCTATAATATATATATAAATTAGTCCAGGAATGTGTCCATCTGCTTCCACGAGATGGCGGTGAGCGCAAACGACAAAAAAGGAAGAAATTATTATAACGCGAATGAATTGACATACCTAATAGAATCATGCATTATCCTTGCAATAAACATCTGAGCATTTATGATAATGAGGTCCGTAATAGGTCCACTCTGCGTACTCATTCCTTCTATGACTGTTTTACAAACTTTAACTTTCATGCTTTCTTTGTCAAACAAGTCTATGAAAGGCAACAAATCGTCCTTAAAAATATTTTGACAATGTCTATATACTGTAAGTTTGAAATTATAAAACTAATTATAAAAAGAGAAAATGATAAGAAAAAAAATCTCTCATCTTCTCGCTAACGCACTCCCTTCCCCTCTTTCCAGCCTATCCTCAAACCCCCAAGCCCTTACCCCTGCTCTACCTCTCAATAACTCTCTTTGCATTTCCTCTCTCACCATGTATTTTGGCGTCCTCCAATTCACCCCCAAAATCCACTTAATATATCTCTCCTGCAATCTCTCCATATTATCCCATTCCTTCCACCCCACACTTCCACTCCAAATCCTAGTACCGACCGTACTAACGCATCAAACATCCACAACCTTTTCCCCCAATCCCTTCCAAACTTCCTTTTTCCTATTCCCCACACCTGCCCCATCACCGCCGCCCCTTTTTTCACTCTCTCTTTCTTTCACATGCAACTCCCTTCCTCTATTCCTCTGGAATATGTAACCCAAATACCTGAACTCCTTTACCTCCTCTATTCTCTCCCCTCTCCACCACCATTTTATCTTTTTCTCCCTTCCAGCTCCTTTCCTGAATCTCATTACCTTAGTCTTTCCAACGTTTAATTCTAATCCTTTTTCCATCAAATACTTTTCCAAACCTCTTATCATTCCACTCATCCCCTCTTTATTCTCCGCCATCAAGGCCACGTCATTTGCATATGCCAACGAGAAAACTTTTCTCCCTTTTAATTTAACCTCCCCCCCCCTAACCATTTCTTTCCAACCAATCTTCTAAGTCCGCCATAACCAAGTTAAATAAAATAGGACTTAGCGGACATCCTTGCCTTACTCCTCTTTTTGTCCAGAAACCTTTTCCTATTTTTGCCCCCGCCCTCACCCTATTCCTTGTCTCCCTATATAAGTCCCCACATCTTCTCACCAATCCTTTTTTACCCCTCTCTTCCTCATTGCCGTCCATAATATTTCTCTGTCCACCATATCAAACGCCGCTCTACGCCATGTTTTTGACACCGCCATCGCTTTCCAATGCAATTGATATAACTTTGGTAAGAGCGGGAAATATTAGACATCTTCATTAAATGTTTTCCATTTTTAGGACATTTGCGTTTGGATGGTAAAAGTCCAATACTCTGACACCACGCAACACACTTCTCGAAAAGATAAAACTTCTTGGACAAGTCTTTCAATATTCCAATTCCCACTAAGAGGATCATGTAAGGCCAAAGCCATTTTTATTAATTAAACTTAATTTAAAATAATCGACGAATAAACTTAGCGCGGGAAGTCGCAATGTATAGAGAAATACTTATAAATTTAGTTTTGCATCCGGTAGATAGAAAATAAATCTTGCTTTGTGTGCAAAGTTGTAAACTTATATGCAACTTCACTTTGCATTAGAAAGGCTGCGTTCCAATATTCACTTCCAGTACTAGAAATCTATAGCACATGTGACGTAAAGTATAGATTTTTAGTACTGACAGTGAATATATATAATCTGGAACGCAGCTAGAGTATATATATAGAGATACTGGCGCCACCTCGATAGACACTTTGCAGGGAGGCTCCACTATCAAAAACGCTAATTTTCCAAAGAATCACACGATAGACAGTAGATCTTGCCTTCTGCAAAAAATGAATTTNTAACTTTTCGTGCAAAGCATGCACTACTCTCNTCACCCGCTACTTTAAAATNNTTTTCAGTGAGTACAACTATCATATATAATATTTTTATTATGTATTATATATGTGTATACATGTTATATAGAATCGATTTTAGTCGATATAAGTTTTATTTTTTTTAAATTTGTTTTTTATTTCTCGAAGTTGGGACTACGGTCGTTTTGTTTGTTCCGTCAAACACTATTTTTGTGCAAACTTTCAGATTGATTAAAAAACGGAGTCATTCTGAAATATATCTAAAATCGATTTTAGTCGATATTGTTTTTATTTTTTTTTTAATTTATTTTTTATTTGCCAAAGTAGAGACTACGCGCGTTTTGTTTGTCCCATCGAACACTATTTTTGTGCAAAATTTCAGATCGATCGGGAGCAGGGGTCATTCGGAAGTACACCCCAATATTTGGACAACAGAAACAATAACAAAATTTTTTGCCGATATGATTAGAATCCACAGAACAAATTACAAAAATAATCCTTTCAACACATTAATATAAATAGTATGGTCTTAATCGAGCATAAAATTTAGTATAAAATATCATTCAGCCGTATACACGAGTGTGAAACGTTTCATGCTCTAACTTGAGTTCTCATCAATTGCATTCAACATTGACAATAAAGAAAAATTGCAAGAGTAAAGACGCAATACTAATAACGCTTGTGTAGCAGTGGAAAACTTATGTCTTCTTCAGATTCGTAAATATCTAGGAATGTTCCTACCTTGGAACATCATCTTCTGTACGCAGTCGGTTTTCTTTCTCATTTGTCATTGTCAGGCAGTGTCACTAGTTGTAATAAAATGACAATCTCTATGAATTAAATTAAAACGAATAAAAGTAAAAAATATAAATATAAATACAATAAATATTGACGTAGTGTGCACAACGAGTTAAATTAAAATGGAAACGCTTACTCAGAACAGTTAAAACTTAACAGTCAAATGCTGTACACAGCACAAGAGGCAGTGTATTTATAGGTGAGTCCCATCTGTAAGAAGGAGGAAATACGTTAAAATTGAGTCAATTTTATTTTATTTAAAAGATCGAAATATGATCGATCCAAATCATTACTCAAATTTAGGCCGTTAAATTGTTTTTTTTTTTTTTATGTTGATCGTTTCCGAGATGAGTCTTTTGTAAAAATTTGACTTATTATCTAAGATTTAAGTATTCTTCCAATCAAAGGAGTGGTTGTGTTTTAAAATATGTTTGGAAATAACAGATAAGTTGAAATTGATTTCAACTAAATTTAATAAAGAGGTCACTAATAATAATCAACTGAATGATAAACGGAAAATTGTCCTTTCCATGTATGAAAGATTTATCAAAGATTGTTAGACATATATTCAAGAACTCCTGACTGGTTACAAATAGTTTAATAAACTTAACTCAATTAAAACTTATAAAGACAAAACACCATATGATCATAATGTAAACATTGTCTACAACATTAATTGTAACAATTGCTGTGCGTTTTATGTTGGATAGATCAAAAGACAATTAAAAACAAGAGTGAAAGAACATATCAATAACATTAAACGTGACACTTTCAATTTATTTGTTATTTCCAAACATATTTTAGAACACAACCACTTCTTCGATTAGAAGAATACACAAATCTTAGATAATGAGTCAAATTTTTACAAGAGACTCATCTCGGAAACGATCAACATAAAAAAAACAATCTAACGGCCTTAATTTGAGTAATGATTTGGATCGGTCATATTTCGATCTTTTAAATAAAATGAAATGACTCAATTTTAACGTGTTTCCCTCTTTCCTTGACGTTCTCACTCAGGTGTATTTATAGGACTTACCTATAAATACACTGCCTCTTGTGCTGTTTACAGCATTTGACTGTTAAATGTTAACTGTTCTGAGTAAGCGTTTCCATTTTAATTTAAGTTTTTATTTTCATTTTAATTTTTGTTCGCGCCACTACAAAAAGTAGTTTTCCTTCCCTTTCGGCTCGTTCGGACAAGTGTCCAGTGTAATAGAATTCACCGACAATGGATCTATGATTATGGAAGTAAGTGATTCGCTGTTAACCACAGGAGACAACCAAACTTCCAACGGCAAAACCGGGCCATTTAGCGTCACCTTAGATTTATAATCCAATGCTTCTGATAAGTCCGGATAGGGCTTCTGATTCTGTGTGTGTTGGTTGTGCAAGCGTGTTTGCGAACATTTGGAGTTGAAGCACAGTTCTTTACTCTTTTCTTCAAGTTCGAGTTTCTTAAGTCAATCGCGAGCGTCTTCTTCACTTAACAAATTTATTACAATCGGAACCCGATGTTGTCGTAACCTGATACAATTTCGAACGAAAGAATAGCCCATTGCACGAGTGTCATTTTCATATTCGACATAAACACGATTCATCCCATCAAAAGATACTTTTATGTGTTCTTGGTTGAGATTTAGATGCGACGAAAAGATCTGCTAAATTGTTTTGGGGTACAACAATCCGGGCTGATGTAACGGCCATCCAGTTAGAATAACAGTGTTCATTGGATCATGATAGGATAACAGTTTCATTTTCTTCTTCTGATAGTCTCTGTTCACAGATTTGACGAAATAGTTAGGATAAAATGCGCCGGCAATTATAACTTTAAAAATAAAGTATTCATTTATAGAATAATGTTTCTACTGTGCTTCCGTTTGGAATCAAATTCAGGTTCTTTGATACCGACGTGTTTTAATTTTTCTGTTATTTCAGATATGAGAGCATCAGCCTCGCGTAGCGATCGTACACGAAGATGATGTTCCTTCGCCCATTCCTTCTCATCGCGCGAGCTTGTTATAACACGTTGTGCTTTTTTCTGTCGCCATACCTTGTAAGCGTTATAATATGCTATAAGGTCGCAATCAGATCCAGCAGCCCATTGTAGTTTTTCGTTGTAGGTTAATTTCACTTCTTCCGCATTGATGCTAAATATCTCTTTAACGCTCGAACAAGCTGCCATAATAATTGCATCCGTCAGAATATCGAACAGATGACCCAGAACAATTAACTTCGACTTGTAAATGTTCATCGGAAGAGAAGCCATTACACGACCCAAAGGTGTCAGTTTTCCGTCGAAATCGTTCGGATTTTCTTCTGTATGGAGCAACGCACCGACTTCCTTTAATGTTAACACAGTTCTTTGTAAGTCACTTAAATCCGGCGGATCCAAAGAAACAGCGAGAAGAGCTTTTGGTTCACCCATATTCAGTATTTTTGCTTTGAGAACTACATTCTCAAGCGGAGCTCTGAGTATTTCTGGAATAGTTTCTGTGGGCAACTTATTCTAAAAAAATTTTTAGAACTTCAGTATATTTTATAAATAAATTGTAATATATATTTTATAATTGTCACTCCTTTTTTGCGCGAGAAATGACAACTGATTGAGAGAAATGTTTTAAGAGCAATATAGAAATACTACTTGCATCATAAAACGATCTTGTAATCATTCTGTACACTCTACCTTCCATTACGCGACCTACGCGACCTACAGCTCGTTGTTGACAATTTGCCTTACTCGCCCAGTTAATCTGTAGACTCTCGTAATTTGAGTCATACTCAGTAACAAGAAGTTTTGTCAGACAAAAATCGATAACTAAAAAACAGAAGAAAACAAATTAAATGATTTTACTTGATCCATTTTAATAAAGGTAGGAAATCTCTTGCTCTCTTTCTCTGACGTTAAACATCACACTTAGTTTCGCCAACGACATACCGTATTTAATATTAGGCACAGTAATACTGCTTTTAGCAATATTAGTCGATAGTATAATACGTCGAAAATCCTTTGCTGGCTTCTTAAATATTTTCTCTTGATCTTCAGTCGAAAAATCATGGAATGTAAAATCATTATTTCCCATTTCGCTTCCTCATATTTTTCCAATAAAAGCATTGAACGGAATTCTATGATTTCATGATATCCTGGTAGAAATACCAGCACGGCCGCTCTTTCAGAACAATTGTTGTCAGCTTTGTCGAGACAATCAAAAATGCGCAAGATGCGTATAGAAAACTTTGCTATATCTTCCGAGAATTTTGGTTCCTCAGGCACTTCAGGTACCTATTCAAAAGAAAATACATATTTTTCTAAACTGTTTTTTCGAGCCACAAAAAGAGAGAAAAGGAAAAAAGTAAATTATTTGTTAGTAATGTATTATCTTTTATGCCATCTAAACAATACATATCTGAAATATGATACACGATGTGGCCAAACTTTATATACATTATACTCAAGTATAAAAATAGAACGTGAGATCTCTTCAAATTCAAAATTATCCAGTTTTATTAAAATAAAAGATAATTTTCTTTTCTCTTTTTCTAAATCTTTAAATTGAAGTGAGATATTACAGTCGCACGTTCTCACATATATTCAAAAAAATGTATAGTTTGTATAAAAAAGGTATATTTACATTTCCTAAATTATGCATCTCATCGATATAATATACAGAAATATTATAATGCCTTTTTTTTTCAATATGTTATACGAGTGTCGCTGCATACATTTTTGATGAATCCCATTTGGTATCCCACAATAGTACCAACACGCCATTCTCTCTCTTCACAGACCCTTTTGGCAATGCTCATAGCAGCAATACGTCTCGGCGATGTAACTGTAAGATAGAAACATTCTTTTACCATTACATTAACGAACTGTTTTAAAAGATAGAAATATAAGAAAAAACCGACCATTAATCGGCTACTTTGAAAATAATCTATTCAAACAACATATACCTATAATGTTACAGTGTTCATTCTTCTCATATTTATCATTAAGAATAATTTTTGGTACTTGTGTTGTCTTCCCACAGCCCGTACTACCAGAGATAATAATGACAGAATTGCTTTCGAGCATGGACAAGATCTTATCTTTAACACGAAAAATTGGTAACTGTGTTTGAGGCCGATAAGAAAAGTTATATGATAAATGCGACTGGTCTCTTGAAAGGTATTATATCCACTTAATGTACTGACTTCCGACATGTTATCTATGTAAAGATCCTTCATTCGTTGTTTTCTTAGAATATGAGGTTTTATCTATAAACAATTCAATATAAACAGAAAAGTTATTTAAATGTAATTTAATATAATTCACACACAGATTTTATGTATAAATTAGCTCTTAAAACTGAGATTTTATAACTATATCATGGTTCAGAGACAAGTTTTCATCACAAATAAAATACATAGTCTGCTGAATAATTTATTATTAATCAACTTTGTTTAATTTGAAAAGAAAAACTAAACAAGAAATTTCTCATAACGTACATTTAAAAACCAATTTACACACACAGATATACAAGAAGCTTTGCGTTACCTTTAAATATTCCTCATCTTCTTTTTGTTTATATTCTATTGCATAATCTGTGCCCTTTTTAATTTTTCTGCTATGAGAATTAAACTCTTCCTCTAATAGACATTCATAGCCTGTTTGTCTTTGACTTGAAGGACAAGACATTTCTATCTTAAAAATCTCAGTTGTATTAAACATATTAAGAACTTTATTTACCAAAGTTTTATTATTCATGTGATCGGTGTAATTAATCGGTGTTGTAACTTAATAGTTTATAAGATACAAACTAACGGAGATCTGCTGTGTAAGCCGTTTACTAGCAAAATACGATACTCGAGTTTCTGATGCACAAGGTCAATCAACAAACTTGTTTCTTTTCATATGTAGCTATGTATAATCAAAATTAGAATTTTAAAATTATTATTCAATCACAATAATAAAACGCGCAGCAGCGCAGCATTCAGTTTTTTATTCTCAAACGAAATACATACCAACCACATGTTCTCTGTTCTCGCGGTTCGTTTGATTTGTATTTGCACCATTCAAGTTTCAACAGGTAAAGCGACTTCTCAGTAGGTCTGTTCTTTTTACCTGAACTGGTTCAGGTAAAAAGCTACATTGGTTCAGAGTTTATCTTTCTTCTTCCAATGTGGAGTGAAAAAGATGAACTCTGAACTAGTGCAGCCAGTTCAGGTAAAAAGAACAGACCTAACCTAACCTAAGGTCTGTTTTTGAACTGGCTGCACTAGTTCAATCTTTTGTTACACATATTGGCAGAGAAAAGCCTGAGAGTGGCCAGGCCCATAAGAGTTTTTACGATCGCTATACCGGCCCGTAAGCTAGCGCATGTCCATGGGTGGTGCACATTGGCAACTACGTAGCGATGTCCACGAACGACTTGTCGATACGTATGGCTATGTCCACGCGTGGACATGGTTTTATTCCGTGCTATGTGCTGTGGACATGGTTCTATTTCGTGCTATGTGCGGTGGACATGGTTCTATTTCGTGCTATGTACACGTCGGTATACAAGTCGGTACAGACTTGTCGCGTACGATAACGTGAAATGCGCTTTCTCAAGATATACAGGGTCGAAGTTGTTCCACTTTTTCAAATAAACTATCGGACAGTTTATCTAATAATTAATTATTATTTATTTTTCCACGTTATCCNATCATATCTCAATTGTAAATAGAAAATGTTACAATGAAAACCACGGAACGAATCATTTGTAAATTAAAAAGAAAAAACATTTAATAAAATTTATAGTTCAATTTCGAATTTTGTAGAGTATTAATAGAGAAATAATAGAGAAAAAATGATTACCTGACATTGTTCTCATAGATCAATTGAAGTACTTACAAAAGAAAAAAGATTAATGTGAGAATGAACTTGCAAATATATATCTATATATATTAATATTTTATATAATTTGAATCTACATATACAAATATATCAAGAGGCACGGTAGTGCCTCGCGCCAAGTTCACGCGCAACGAAGTTGCGCTCGAACTGCGCGAGCACACCGTGCCTATTATACGCGAGATT